TTGAAGTCCAAAGCATGAAACCTACTATTTACCAGATTAAGCAAATTCGTACTTGATTTTCATTTAAGATGCCTGCATACTGGTAGAATCCCAGAATTTGCTTGTGATCTGTGAACATAAAATGAATTGATTGTCTATTTTTCGTACTGGAAATAAAGAACAGAATGTAATTGTTTGTTGAGCTTTCAAGAGTCTCAACTCTCTCACAATCGACACCCTATTTCTTCCTAACCAATCCTACTTCCCACCTCCTTTATTTATAATTTGATGCCTATCAATTCTATTAAATCTCCATAAAACCTCCCCTACTTTAACTGAATGAAAATATTCACGTGCCATTGGGGACTATCACGAACTTAGACGATGAATTGTTATGCTAATGACAGTGATAATCAATTTATCACCATACACTGCTACCACTTCTGGTTCAATTACAGTATTCTTCATAGAATAAAAAACTTAGGTTGTATAATGTTCACAAGGGCAGAGATAGATTGACTAATTGGAAGCTTGTTATTGATTTACCTGCACAGAGTCACTTGGATCATAAATGAATTTGCAGGATTGAACTACAATTTTCTGGGATAATATTTGTTTATCTGACTATTGTAATGGAGTTAGGAGGTCCAATAATTGTTTCAATTTCAGATATCTTTTTCTATGATTAAGATTTTGCTATGATATATTTCCAAATTCCAACTATTGCAATCACATTTCGCTTTCTCCAGTGTATCTCAGCTTACAGTGGACATTATAAGCCAACTGATGATAGACTTGACAGCTTCTTATCATTTTTGAAGGAAAATGGAGTCAACCTGGATGAAGTTGAGGTATGTCACCTACATTTTGTGTTCCACGGACTATCACATGCACAGCCTTGACCATGGCTCTTGCCTTTTTCTGTCTTCCTGTAAATTATTTGATAAGTAGCATTGGGGACTGCAAGAGGGTTGAATTGATTGTGAGGGTGTTTGGGGCTATTGCTCTTTCAGATATTCTTAAAAAATTGTTAAAATGCATACACATTAATATATGGTGCACAAGATGATAATAGAATTGTGCATCTTTTCAAAGCTGTTTAGTTCTTTTTTTCTGTTTTTTGTTCACGTAATTGTGGTTCTGGTTTTTGTGTGAGATATAACAAATAGTATCAGTGAAAATTCCCTCATTGATATGCAAATTCTGGCGTGTCTCTGATAGTGATTGAAGTATACAGAAGGACAATGGATAAAATCACAGGAACTAAGCATTGCTCTTTTAAATATGGTTTGTGGTAAATAAGCATACCATCCTGCGATCATCAGGAGGTAGATAGTTTTGATATACACAAGTAGGTCTGAATGTGAAATTTGCTATAGAGGTTTCTTCAGTGGGCTTTTTGTTCTCTTGGTGGCTCAGACTAAGTTTCACTTCTGAATGGTAATCCTTTCTTAGTATTTACGGTGCGAGTAATATCCCTTGTCTTATGTATCAGATACAAAAGGCAAATGATGATTACGAGAGTTATGAAAGCGGAAAACCTGTTAAAGATCGGTCTGCAACTGATGTTTCATCAATCTCAGATTCCATTCAACCTGATATTCCCAATAAAGAGGAAAAAGACCCTTCTTCAGAAGCAACCAAAGCTCCTAACGCTGAAACTAAAGTCGAGTACAAGAGGACGCTCTCTGGTGGCCTTCAGAGCCCTAAAGCAAATGTCCCACAGAGAGCAATATTGCAAAGGATTAATTCCAAGAAGGCCGCCAGTTCATATCAATTAGGTCAACAACTCTCCCTCAAATGGTCATCAGGTGCTGGCCCAAGAATCGGTTGTATTGCTGACTACCCTGTTGAATTGAGATTACAGGCATTGGAACTTACTAACCTCTCGCCACGAACTTGTCCTGAATCATCGACCCCAAGAAGGATTGCTGCTGTTGCTTCACCTACAGCATGTAGGCAGAACTTATTAATGGAAATATAACGAGCTCTTGACTTTCAGTCCCGTGTTTTTGGCTTCTCTTCTAGCATTTCTCCTATAGTGTCGTGTTGCGTATTCGTACATAATCTGCTGATATTTACTTTACAATCTCGACATGTAGTCTGATCTGTCCCCGCGTTACATCCTATTTTCTGCTCTGTTTGAGAAACTTAATGCAAGTAGTTGAGGCAGATTTTATGTAGCATTTGCTGTCAAATAATGAAGACTCTGGTTATTTTAAGCTCCACTTATCTTTATATTATATGTAGTAGTATCATGAATCATAGGCGGATTCAGAAATTTATATTTACATGCCTGAAATTTAAGAAATTCAATTTATAGAAGTTCATAGATAAAATAAAAGTTATTAAATAACATTTACGTACGTTTTTAGATATATAATATTTTTCATTGATCCTAAATAAGTTACTATAAAATATATTTTTAAAATAACTGTCTTTTACCTTAAAAAAAAAAAAAAGGTAATATGCTCAACCATGTTTGAAACAAAAAGTTGGTAATTGTCTTGGTTATTAACTTTATATACAATGATTTAGTTTCAGTTTTTTGAACATTTTATTATAGTTGCAGAGATGAGCGATGGAACTAGAACTAGACTTTAGGGTGGGTTAGCTAATTTAAATAAAGAGAGAACGAGAATAATATTACGTAATCAATAATTCAATTCATAATACGAGATTACCTAACCAAATTGTGCTCGACAACATTCATGGTATCTCTATATTTTTCTGTTTCATCGTTTTATTATTTGGAATTTCTGTCAATGGTGTAGAGGAAGAGGTCTATGATCTATGAACTCAAGAAACATGATAAAATTGACAAGTTCTGGTGCTAGAATAATTTGTTATTCTTCCTAACGATAATGGTAAATTTTTTGGTCCCTTCTTTAGAATATTCTTATTCTTTTATGAAACCATTAGAGTTTGTTCTCTTTGCTTTTTTCAGGCTATTTTTAGTTTTCAATTTTCGAAAATACTGAAAATACGTACGTTTACTTACCTATTTTCAAAAACGAATTTTAAAAAACAAGTTAAAAATTTACAAAGAAAACGGAAAACGCAAAAGAAGTTGTTTTGACTGTTTTCAGTTAAAACTAAACCAAAATTTCATTTTTTAATTTTTGAAAATAATTTTTCAAAATGACAAAAAGAACGCGTTTTCAGTTATCTCAAAATGAACACTCAAAATACAAAACCTAAAATGAATTCAAAACTAAAAATTAAAAACTGAAACATGAAGATTGTGTTTCAGTTTTCTGTTTTGAGTTTTGAAATCGTTTTGTGTTTTGTGTTATGAGTGTCCGTTTTGAAATTGCTGAAAATGCGTTCTGTTTGTTGTTTT